TCGGCCGCCCTGGCCCAGGCCTCCTCCGCTCCTCGCCGTCGGCCTCGCCTGGGCTCGCAGCTCGGCTGCCCTCGGCAGGGCGCCTGGAGCCTCTTCGGCGCCATCTCGGTGGCCGAGCTCCCGCACTTCATGCAGAACCGCCTGCTCTCGCTCCCCAACCATCGAAACTGGGGGGTCTCGCGCGACCCCGCGCCGAAGAAACTGACGCACCTTCCCTCAGCTGGCGGCGGCCCGTGGCACTGCATCGCGAATCGCTCCTGGAGCCCGCTGAATGCCGTGTGCCTCGTCGCCGTCTGCCCGCAGCAGCTGCGTCGCCATGCCCCGCCTCGCCGCGACCTCCTCTGGCCGCGCGTCGTCACCGGTGCTGCTTCAGCGTCCTTCTGGCTCTCCTGGCCTTGACCGTTGCTTTCCTGGCGCGCTTGAGCTCGCTGCTCTCGCCTGGCCTCCTGCTGATCGCGTCTCTGGTGCTCTCCGCGATGCGCGTCCTGGCGACGTGCGCTGTGGCCTGTGCTCACTCGTAGCAACTCAACTCGGCCTCGCTGATCGCGTGCTGCATCGCTCCCGCGTCGGCTTGCCTGCCGGCCTCGCGATTGCCCTCCCGAGCGACTCGCGGGATCATCCTCTCCGCCGCCTCCTGTGCGTCCATGTGGCTGTTCATGTGACGCGTCGTGCCTGGCCTATCCTGGAGAGCTCTCCTCACTCTGCGCCAGAGGTCGCTGTTGTCGCTGGTCTTGTGGTCGCCACCCTCTCGGTGGTCCCTCCAGCCCTTGAAAGTGACCTAGTTGTCCGTCCAGTGCTCCATCGGCCCCTCCGTGGACCCCGGGCTGCTGATGAAAGCCCACAGCTCGCTACTGTTGTTGGTCTTCCTGCTGCCGGGCAGTGGCCTGAACTTGGCCGCTCGGATGGGGGAGCTCTACGTTCTGCCCGTCGTGTCCAGCACCGACCAACCCCATCCCCCCCTCCTGTATCTCTCGTTTGCGCTGCGTTCGCCGTTCTCCTCGCAGCCTCTCGCGCAGCAGGCGCTCACCTACCAGCGATGCTCGGTCCTGTCGCGCAGCGGCGGCGCTGTCCAGGTCTTGGGCGTGAGCCCCCGTAGCCAGAAGATGGGTGTGCTGTCAGCGGCCCTCCTCGCGCGCTTCTCTGGCCCTTGCGCCCTTGCGAGGATGGCCTTTTCTCTTCTGCCTCTCTTCGCAGTCGCCCCAGATACGGTGGAAACCCTTCTCCTCCGCGCCGCACTCGCACCTGCAGTCCGTCTCGCCAAACTCCTTGCACCTCCTTGCTTTTGGCCATGTGCCTGCGCACGCTGCGGCCGCCCCCCGCACAGCTGGTGCCCGCCCATCTTCCTGAGCGCCTCCAGGTACCGCTTGGTGTCATGCACGTCGATGCCCTGCTCAGCCACTTTGCCGTTGTGGTGCTTCGCCGCCACTTCCCACTGCATCAGTTGCGGGTCCTTGAGCAACGCCGCCAAGATGTCGTGCGGATCTCCTGCCTCTTCGTCCTCTGGGAATTCCCAGTGGTCCCCTTGCCTGTCGATCCAGTCGTCTGGGTCCCTGGTGCCCCAGCCGAGCTCCCAGAGGAGGAGGAGGATGCTGCCCATCACGCATCGCCTCTGTTTCCACCTCCTTGCCTGTGGCTGCGCCTGCAGTCTGAAGTATATCCTCGCCCATGCCCTCCTGATCTGCAGCCTCTGGTCTGCGCTCTTGTCCCAGAGGTCGAACCAAGCCCGCAGCTGCCGCCTCACGATCGTGATGGCTAGGTCCTCTCCCTCCAGCGCCAGGAAGCTCGTCGGGCACCTGCCTGGCCAAGCCATCCTCAGCGCTTGCGCTATCTCCTCCTCCTCCTCGTTGTCCTCATCGTCGTCGGCGCCAGCCCGTGCATCACCGCACCGCATATATGAGCGACGCAACTGGGCCCTGGTGCGCGACTCCTCGCCGCCTGCACAACTTGATCCTCCTCAGCTTGGCCCCCGCTGCGCCCAACCTCCTGCCCGCTGCCTTCGTCCTCTGCGCATGGGTGGTCCTCCTGGTCGTCCCTCGTGCCGCCCTGTCGCCTCCAAGGTCTCTGCCTTCAGTGACCGTCTTCACCTCTACGCCCTGCCTCCTCAGCGCCAGCTGCACCTGTCGCGTGGTGAGGAGGAGGAGGAGGAGAAAAGGAGCAGGAGCAGGAACATTAGCGGGAGGAGGAGGAGGAGGAGGAGGAGGAGGTGGACGAGGAGGAGGAGGAGGAGGAGGAGGAGGAGGAGGAGGAAAAGGAGGAAGAAGGATGAGGAGGAGCAGGCGGAGGAGGAACAGGAGGAGGAGGAGGAGGAGGAGAAGGAGTTGGAGGAGGAGGAACAGGAGGAGCAGGATGAGGAGGAGGCGGAGGAGGAGGCGGAGGAGGAGGAAGAGGAGCAGGAGGAGGAACAGGAGGAACAGGAGGAGCAGGAGGAGGAGGAGGAGGAGGAGGAGGAGGAGGAGGAGGAGGAGGAGCAGGAGGAGGGAAAGAGGGCCCCGCGCCGCTCCTCCGAGCCCGGAGCGGCCTCCGCCGGCGGCGCGGGGTGGGGCTCCCGCCGCGGGCCGCGGGGCGGGGGCCCGCAGCCGTCGGCGAGCAGGGTGTCGGCGAGGCGCACGAGCATGCGGCCGCCGTGCGGCGCGGGGGGCGCCTGGGAGGGCCCGGGCGGCGAGGGGTCGAGGATCGAGGATCGAGGGGTCGAGGGTCGAGGATGGAGGATGGAGAATCGGGCGTCGAGGAGTCCAGGATCGAGGGTCGGGGCGGAAGAGAAGGGGGTCGGATATCACAAGGGGATCGAGGATCTGTGTTGAAGGAAAGATCGAGAACCGAGGAGGGCGATGTGTTTTGTTCCAGCCTCCCGCGGGCAGCGCAGCGTCGTGCTTGCAGGCTCCGCAAGCGGACTCCGATGCGCGTCCAAAGAGGTCCCAAGGCACAGACTCCCATGCATTGAATGAGGCTCGCCGTGGTCACGTCACTAATCCTGAAATTGGGGCGTCCGCCCCTCTCGTGGAGACCGTGGCAATCGTGCTGCTGGGGGAAGGTGGAGGGAGGGGGATGAGCAGGACGGGGGTCGAGGATCGAGGATCGAGGCAAGGAGAAGGGGGCCGGAGATCACCACAGGATCGAGACTTTGAGTTGAAGGAGAGATCGAGCCTCGATCCCTCCTTCAACTCACCGATCATCGGTCATCGAGGATGGAACGTCAACCAACGAAGGAAGCCCTCCCGCGTCGGGCGCTGCTCTCAATAAGCCCCTCGCTCCTGCTCCTCCTGATCCTCCATCATTGTTCACCTCCTCCTCCTCCTCCTTTTCCTCCTCCTCCTTTTCCTCCTCCTCCTCCTCCTCCTCCTCCTCCTCCTCCTCTTGCTCCCTCATCCTCCTTTTCCGACGTCGCCGTCGCCGTGAGGAGAGGAGGTGGAAAGAGAGAGAGAGAGAGAGAAAGAAGGACGAAGATGAGGAGGGCAGAGCGAAGGAGGGAGGAGGCAGGAGGGAGGAAGGAGAGCCGCTCCTCCACCCCTTCTCCAAAGAGGGGGGGGGGAGCGTTATTGGGGGGGGGAAGGGAGAGGGGGGGAGGAGGGGCGAGGCGCACCACCCCCGCCAGCGCAGAAAACTCCTGGGCGACGGTAGAGCGAAGGGCGGCCTGCCGCGCCCCAGCGCGAGTGGCCTGGTGGGCAACGTTTGCCATCGCTCGGACGTCCATTCCCTGTGCATTTTTAGATTTCGTGCGTGTTTTTTTTGCTCGATCGATGGTCCAGGATGGTCCTCGATGGTTCTCGCCGACAAAAAAATGCACATGTCCGAGCGATGCCAGGAACGTTCCTGGGAGGCGAGGCGAGGAGGACAATGAGGAGGCACGCGAGGCGTACGGACGTGCGGCGGGCGTGCGGCAACGGGGGCGACCAGAGGCCAATCGGGCGAGAACGTCTGCCCTCGCCCTCCCCGATGGGGGAGGCTCCGCACGGGCGAACCACGCTCCAGAACGTGCCTCTCGAGCCTCGAAATCCCACCGTCGCCGTGCCCCTCTGCAGCGCGGCGCCGCGCGGCGCCCGGGGCCCAGGACGACTCGACGGGGCGAACGGCGGCCACCTCCTCGACCCAACGCCCCTCACTGTTGGCCCCCAGCCTTCCTCCCCTGGAGGGCTTTCCGCAAGGCGCCCGCCCGTGGCCACGAGAACCCCCTCGGAGGCCCGACGAGGACCAGCAACACAAACACAGACCCGAGGGCTCGACACTCCTGGAGCGCGGCGGCGGCGGACGCCCAGGACCTGTGGCCGCATGGAGCAGGGGTGGGCCTGGGCCCGGGGACGGACAGGCACCCTTTCTAGCAAAACGTGGTTCCGTGAAGACGACCTCGGGCCCAGACCTGGCGGGCGCCAAGCCTGGAACATGACGGCCGCGGCGCCGCCTCGAGCACCGACCACGGACAGCTCACTCCTCGGCGCGTCAGGGTGCTGGGCCTGGGGGAAGGGCCTGGGCTTGGTCGGCTGGGGGGGGGGGGGGGGAGGGCCTGGTGGGCAGGCCGCGGGCAGGAGGGACCCCGGCGGGCGTGGGCAGGAGCCGCAGGCGGGGCCCCGGCAGGCAGGCCACGGGGGGAAACGCCTGGGGGCCGGCCCGCGGCAGGCCCGATGAGGCAGGCCTATAGGGCGTGCCCGGACAGAGGGCGAGCATTAGGTCGGGCGTGTCCTCCTGCATGGAGATTGTGGACGAAAACAAGATAGCCAACACATGCTAATACATATATATATATATATATATATATATATATATATACATATATCAAATATCGTCCCCATACTATGTTTTGACTACTTGTCAATTAATCGTCCCCGTACGATGTTTGAACTATTTTTGAGTATCCCTCCTGTGGAGGGACACGCCCGATTTCAGGCCAGCGGTGGGCGGCGCGCGCGGCGGCGGGGCGGGCGCATCTGGCGCGCCCACGACGAACGGCGCGGCGGTCTCCTCAGTTCGGCGGGGACGGGGCGGGGGCTGTCAGCGGAGGGACCTCCTCGCCGTCGCCGTCGCCGTCGCCGTCGTCGTCTTCCTCCTCCTCCTCCTCCTCCTCCTCCTCCTCGTGTTCCTCCTCCTCCTCCTCCTCCTCCTCCTCCTCCTCCTCCTCCTCCTCCTCCTCCTCCTCCCCTCCCCCCCTCCTCCAACTCTTCGAAAGACCCCCTCCTCCCTCCACCACTCCTCCTTGCCCAGAACTCCTCCTCGTCTCACAGCCACGCGCGTCGGCGGGGCGGGCCGGGCGTCTCGTTCGAGGCCCTGACGCGTCCTCGTCAATTGGGACCCCGGAGGGTCAAGCTTCCACCTGCTACACACATGGAGGGCGACCCGTTTTCAAACTGTGCCCCCCCCGACACACACACAAATATGGATTACGGCGCCGTTTGTGCGGGACAGGAAAATGACCACAGCCACTGCTTCTTGTTTGCGCCGCCTTCCAGCCGGCCGAAAAAGAAGCAGTGGTTGTGGTCATTTCCCTGGCGCCAAGCTCAACGAACATGACCGCAGCCACTGCTTTGTTCCTGCGGGCTGGAAGGCGGCAGCAAAAGAAAAGCAGTGGCTGTGGTCGTTTTCGCGCCCCGTAGTTTGGAAAATGGGCCGTTGCACAACAGTTCGGCGCACGTCGCGATAACATGCTGTTAGCAGTCAAGCAACTAGCTGTGTGAAGAGCGGATCCTTTTTCAGCATGGCGCCCTCACCAGAGACAGCTCCAAACCAAACAATCCTAGGACAATAGATCGCGCAACAAGTTTCGCGGATGAGCGCGGCTCGACGGCGAGCCGTTCTTCGCTCTGGGAAGCTGCGCCCCCAACGGCCCCGATGGCCCCGGTCATGTCCGCGAGTGAGGTCGCGAGCTTGTCGGCCACTGGCGTCCGGGCACCTTCCCGCAGCAGGCGGCGCGCAGCGTCCGAGGCAGCTCTGGCGAGCGTTGCCACGTCCCGCCCAAATTGCCAATGTCTGTCTGCGTTGCGCGATTGCCCTCGCGGCCGCTGCAGGGCAGGTCCGCCAGATGCCTTCAGTGGCGTTTCCTCGGCGTTTCCGCAAGCACTAGACGCATTGCTCGCAGTCGACTCCTCGGCGGGCCTCTGGAAGCTCCTCTTCGGCGAGGTCGTTGCCTTCAGATCGGCCCCCCGGCACTTTTCGAGATCGCCTCCTTGCCCCCGTCGTTGCTCTCGCATGTCTTGCAACGCCTCGCTGCTGATCCGGGGACAGCGTGGCCTGCGGACTCGGGGTCGCAGCTGCAGGGCTCATGTGTGCACATCCTCTGAGAGCAGGCGCCGCGGCATGCAGCGCTACCCTGGTCCTTGCATGTGGGGCTGCGCCGCCTCCTCGTCCTCAGGGATCTTCTCAGAACAGGACCCAGACATGCAAGACATCCAGACTTTTTCAGGGCGGCATCCCCCAGAAGCCCAGGCCCGTTCCCCAGGACCGGCTTTTCATGCTGAATCGTTTTTTGACGGTCCCGGGGACCGGCAAGGGCCCCCAGGGTCCGAAAATAACAACAACAAAAAACATGCCGTCCTGATCTTTCCACAACGCGATCATGTCTGGGGACGCCGGCTGCGTAGTCGGATCCGCACGCGCGCCCGCTCGTTTCGCTGCGTCCCGCCAGCCTGCTCCAATCCTCCCTGGCGGTGGGCCACCCGGCCTCCGCGGCTGACGTCTGATCGGCCAGGAGGTTGCGCTCCTGGCGGCCCTCCTCGACGAGCTGGGTCATCACGGCCGCGCGCGCCCAGGATCCCGCGGTGGACTTTCTGCTGTGCCGCTGGCGTTCCGCGCGACGGCTACTGATGCATTGTGCCATGCCAGCTCGACCCCATGCCGAATCTGCCACAGAGTGGTGCCGCGGGCACGCAAATCGCTCGAAGCTCCTGCGAGCCCGGCCCATCTGACAACGACGGGGACGCATACTACGAAACGCAAACGGACACATCAGTCAGACGACGGTTGAGGAATGACGCCCGCGAGAGGGTCGTCTTCCGAAGCGAATGCGAAAAACGAAACGTTGCGCGGCAGAAATGTCGTATTCCCAAGATCGGGAGCGGCCAAGAGGGGGGTGTCCAAGAGGGTGGGTGCAACTTATGACCGGCGGCACGTGCGCGGCCCAGCGGGGGGGCCAGGGACGTAATGAAACAAGAAGAGGCGCCATGAGATCTGGGGAAACATCATGGCCGACGCCATGATATCCCCCCCTAGCCATCACCCACCTCTTTGCCGCCCCCGACGAGAGCGCAAGCAAAACAAATGCCCGGCCAGAACATTGAGAGCTTCGCTTCGCCGTGCCGCCCGGAAATCACGCGCGAGCCGCAGCGGGGAGCTCTTCGCCCTGGCCCTGGCCGCGCGCGGCTGCTTCGCCGCGCGACCTGCTCGCCCCTGGGCCGCGGCGGCGGCTGCTTGGATCCTCGCGTGCAAGCCTGCGTCGGGCGCGGACGACTGCGCACCCGCTCTCGCGCCAGCTGCCCCTGCCGACGGGGCGGGGGCCGCCCTCCTGATGGCCGACGGCACTCGGCATATCGCCCTGGAGGCCCCGAGACGCGAAGCATCACGCGCGAGCCTGCTCCGCGTCCTCCCTGACTCGGCCTGCCGCGACGCTGGACCTCGACTGGCAACCGGCACAGCGCCAGCCGCGGCGCCCCCTTGGAGCAGTCCGCGCCATGCCCGGCGTTCAGCGACGCTCAAGATGAGAGCACGGAGGTCGTAGTGCCAGGCCTCAAACTTCGGGAATTACACTGCAGCGCTGTTTGGCGTTGCGAGTACACCCCGCTTGCCCTCGATGGGGTACCTCCACGTCCACGTCCACGGCGCCCTTCCCGAGTGCGCCGCCATGCTCGTAAACGCAACTGGGCACGCAAACGCGGAGAACTCGCGGAGCACCCTCCCCTCCTACTCTCGCCCCATCAGCACGCAAACGCGGAGAACTCGCGGAGCACCCTCCCCTCCTGCCCTCGCCCTGTCAACGCCGCCTTCGGCAGGACCACCTCCGGAGCAGACGACCCAGCCTGAACTGGGAGGCCCCGTGGAATCGCCTGCCATGTGCGCTCGAATGGCGCTCGAAAGCCGGCTGCCGTGGCACTTGCAGGCTGCTCCGCGTGGCGGGGAGGGAAACAGTACATCCAAATCCTGGGACTCCAGATAATGCGGGATGACGATTAATAAAAAATGAGAGAGACCGACTAAAAAAACAATTTGCTGCTATTTCTGCACAATTTTCTGCTTGGAGGAGAGCGATCAAAAAAATAGTTTTCTAGCCCGCGGCCGGCTTTGTCTAATCGTCATCCCGGGCGCCGCCGCGTGAACACAACCCGTGGTCATTTATTAATCGCCATCCTCCATTAGAGCAGCCGCCAATCGCTTCCGATCACGATGCCTTCGCCGCGGGGTTCAGGAGAACGGCCGTGAAAAGGTCGAACCAGGCGCCGCCGAAACTCATCGCCTCCATGGTTGTCACCGCGCCCATCTGAGTCTGCCAGACGCAGAAACTGAAACGGACGAGCCTGATCTTCAGCAGTTCCAGCCTGTCCGCGCTGATGATACCCGCACGCGTCCCGCCAAAATTTTGCTGAACCCCCTCGGGACACTGGCCAGAGAGAGCTGGCCTTCCCAATGGTCCAGAGAGCGCAGGCGAACCCAGGGCATAGTAATCAAAACGTAGGTAGATCATCACCAGGAAGACCAACAGCTGGAACAAGATGCGACGGAGGAGGAGACGGAGACGGAAGAAGAGGAGGGCTACGCCGGCGAGGACAAGGACGATGACCGCGCCGACGACCATCTTGCGAACGCGTGGGATGAGGAGCTGCTTTAATATTCCATTGTATTTTCTTCTCCCTTGCACCCGCCCTGCAAATCTATGGAGCAAGCCCTTTTGAGGGATGGAGGGCTCGCGTCTCTTGCGGGAGAACCCTTAGCGGTACAAGTGTTCGGCTCCTGGAGAAAGTGTTCGAGTGGCCAAGACGCCTCGAAGTAAGTTGCAAGGAAGAAGCATCGTTAGGAAGCCATTGTCCTTGTAGTTCGGCCTTCGCTAGCTTGGCTGAAGCGCGAGGAAGTCTACAGCGAAAGCGCCGCGGGCGACTCTGACAATGGCACGTGGGAGTACACTGAAGGAGGTATCGAGCGGCAGCCGTTGGCATCGAGGTTGGACCTTCATCAGGGGGTCCCTGGCGAAACCGCCGTCCGAGAGCGCGGGGGCGTTTCTGGCAGAGGCGCTTCGGAGCAAAGTGTAGAAAACTGTCGAACGGGAACCGCTGTCGTCGCAACTGGGCCTTCACCAACTTGAGTGATCACACAAGTTTAGAAAAAGAACAAACACCATGAACGTAAACTTTTGACGTTCCGCGTGGATTTCTTGGATCTGCGCTGGGGCCCCCCGGCGGCGCCTCTGGCGCCGCCCCTGGCGAAGCCGCGCGGAGCGCCAAGAGTTTCTGTTCATGACGTTGTTCTTCTTCGAGGACTCACGCGCCACTTTCTCTAGAGGGCAGAACATTCACCCCCATAGTAATCATCCCGACACGCGAAGTCGTTTAGTAAACGCGCCCAAAGCAGGACTCAAACAGGGCGGGGATGTTTAATAAACGCCAAATGCCGTCTAGTAAACGTCAATCGTCGGTTCCGGGTGGTTTTTCGTCCCTTGGTTCTCGACGCCCGGTGGGGTGCGCGCACACCCACAGGCGATGGGTGGAGGCCCTCCGCGGCGCCTGAGACCAGGCCACGCGCAACACGGCCCTGGCCAAGGCGCCTCGCGGAGCGCCTTGGGCGCGAGAGCCCAGCACAGGCGTCGGGCGGTGGGCGGGCGAAGAGGAACAGCAGCCTCATCCTCCTCCTCCTCCTCCTCCTCCTCCTCCTCTCCGCCTCCTCCCTCCTCCTCTTCCTCTCTCCTCCTCCTCTCCTCCTCTCCTCCTCCTCCTCCCTCACCTAAGCCTCCTCCTCCCCCCTCCTCACTCCCTCCTCCCTCCTCC